TACCACCCTCATAACTAGGTCAAATCTCATCCGATTTTCACGAAGTTTGGCTTTTTCTTCATGGTTTTCCCTCTAGATTAATCTGGCATTCAAATCTGAACACCGATTTTTTAGTCGAAATTCATGTCCAAATCTTACCCCAAGATTCGTATATAGACATGGGTCAAAATTTACCACCCTCATAACTCGGTCAAATCTCATCCGATTTTCACGAAGTTTGGCTTTTTCTTCATGGTTTTCCCTCTAGATTAATGTGGCATTCAAATCTGAACACCGATTTTTTAGTCGAAATTCATGTCCAAATCTTACCCCAAGATTCGTATATAGACATGGGTCAAAATTTACCACCCCCATAACTCGGTCAAATCTCATCCGATTTTCACGAAGTTTGGCTTTTTCTTCGTGGTTTTCCCTCTAGATTAATCCGGCATTCAAATCTGAACACCGATTTTTTAGTCGAAATTCATGTCCAAATCTTACCCTAAGATTCGTATATAGACATGGGTCAAAATTTACCACCCCCATAACTCGGTCAAATCTCATCCGATTTTCACGAAGTTTGGCTTTTTCTTCATGGTTTTCCCTCTAGATTAATGTGGCATTCAAATCTCGACACCGATTTTTTGGTCGAATGCATGCCCAAATCTTACCCCAAGATTCGTATATAGACATGGGTCAAAATTTACCACCCCCATAACTCGGTCAAATCTCATCCGATTTTCACGAAGTTTGGCTTTTTCTTCATGGTTTTCCCTGTAGATTAATCTGGCATTCAAATCTGAACACCGATTTTTTGGTCGAAATTCATGTCCAAATCTTACCCCAAGATTCGTATATAGATATGGGTCAAAATTTACCACCCCCATATCTCGGCCAAATCTCATCCGATTTTCACGAAGTTTGGCTTTTTCTTCATGGTTTTCCCTCTAGATTAATCTGGCATTCAAATCTGAACACCGATTTTTTGGTCGAAATTCATGTCCAAATCTTACCCCAAGATTCGTATATAGACATGGGTCAAAATTTACCACCTCCATATCTCGGCCAAATCTCATCCGATTTTCACGAAGTTTGGCTTTTTCTTCATGGTTTTCCCTCTAGATTAATGTGGCATTCAAATCTTAACACCGATTATTTGGTCGAATGCATGTCCAAATCTTACCCCAAGATTCGTATATAGACATGGGTCAGAATTTACCACCCCCATAACTCGGTCAAATCTCATCCGATTTTCACGAAGTTTGGCTTTTTCTTCATGGTTTTCCCTCTAGATTAATCTGGCATTCAAATCTGAACACCGATTTTTTAGTCGAAATTCATGTCCAAATCTTACCCCAAGATTCGTATATAGACATGGGTCAAAATTTACCACCCCCATAACTCGGTAAAATCTCATCCGATTTTCACGAAGTTTGGCTTTTTCTTCATGGTTTTCCCTCTAGATTAATGTGGCATTCAAATCTTAACACCGATTATTTGGTCGAAATTCATGTCCAAATCTTACCCCAAGATTCGTATATAGATATGGGTCAAAATTTACCACCCCCATATCTCGGCCAAATCTCATCCGATTTTCACGAAGTTTGGCTTTTTCTTCATGGTTTTCCCTCTAGATTAATCTGGCATTCAAATCTGAACACCGATTTTTTAGTCGAAATTCATGTCCAAATCTTACCCTAAGATTCGTATATAGACATGGGTCAAAATTTACCACCCCCATAACTCGGTCAAATCTCATCCGATTTTCACGAAGTTTGGCTTTTTCTTCATGGTTTTCCCTCTAGATTAATGTGGCATTCAAATCTCGACACCGATTTTTTGGTTGAATGCATGCCCAAATCTTACCCCAAGATTCGTATATAGACATGGGTCAAAATTTACCACCCCCATAACTCGGTCAAATCTCATCCGATTTTCACGAAGTTTGGCTTTTTCTTCATGGTTTTCCCTGTAGATTAATCTGGCATTCAAATCTGAACACCGATTTTTTGGTCGAAATTCATGTCCAAATCTTACCCCAAGATTCGTATATAGATATGGGTCAAAATTTACCACCCCCATATCTCGGCCAAATCTCATCCGATTTTCACGAAGTTTGGCTTTTTCTTCATGGTTTTCCCTCTAGATTAATCTGGCATTCAAATCTGAACACCGATTTTTTAGTCGAAATTCATGTCCAAATCTTACCCCAAGATTCGTATATAGACATGGGTCAAAATTTACCACCCCATATCTCGGCCAAATCTCATCCGATTTTCACGAAGTTTGGCTTTTTCTTCATGATTTTCCCTCTAGATTAATGTGGCATTCAAATCTTAACACCGATTTTTTAGTCAAAATTCATGTCCAAATCTTACCCCAAGATTCGTATATAGACATGGGTCAAAATTTACCACCCCCATATCTCGGCCAAATCTCATCCGATTTTCACGAAGTTTTGCTTTTTCTTCATGGTTTTCCCTCTAGATTAATGTGGCATTCAAATCTGAACACCGATTTTTTAGTCGAATGCATGCCCAAATCTTACCCCAAGATTCGTATATAGACATGGGTCAAAATTTACCACCCCCATATCTCGGCCAAATCTCATCCGATTTTCACGAAGTTTGGCTTTTTCTTCATGGTTTTCCCTCTAGATTAATGTGGCATTCAAATCTGAACACCGATTTTTTAGTCGAAATTCATGTCCAAATCTTACCCCAAGATTCGTATATAGACATGGGTCAAAATTTACCATCCCCATAACTCGGTCAAATCCCATCCGATTTTCACGAAGTTTGGCTTTTTCTTCATGGTTTTCCCTCTAGATTAAACTGGCATTCAAATCTGAACACCGATTTTTTAGTCGAAATTCATGTCCAAATCTTACCCCAAGATTCGTATATAGACATGGGTCAAAATTTACCACCCTCATAACTCGGTCAAATCTCATCCGATTTTCACGAAGTTTGGCTTTTTCTTCATGGTTTTCCCTCTAGATTAAACTGGCATTCAAATCTCGACACCGATTTTTTGGTCGAAATGCATGTCCAAATCTTACCCCAAGTTTCGTATATAGACATGGGTCAAAAATTACCACCCCCATAACTCGGTCAAATCTCATCCGATTTCCACGAAGTTTCGCTTTTTCTTCATGGGTTTCCCTCTAGATTAATCTGGCATTCAAATCTGAACACCGATTTTTTAGTCGAAATTCATGTCCAAATCTTACCCCAAGATTCGTATATAGATATGGGTCAAAATTTACCACCCCCATATCTCGGCCAAATCTCATCCGATTTTCACGAAGTTTGGCTTTTTATACCCTGAACCCATTAAAAATGGGTATAAGGATAAATTGGATTTGTGCGAAAGCCAAATGTATGTAACAGGCAGAAGGAAGCAACTCCGACCCCATAAAGTATATATATTCTTGATCAGTATAAATAGCTGAGTCGATATAGCCATGTCCGTCTGTCTGTTCGTTAGTATAAGAGCTAGAGAAATTTTATATGAAGATGCTCCTGGCTCCCGCGCAGATCGAGTTTGTTTCCGATAATCGATAACTTACTCCGTTTCCAAGCAATCGATAAAAATCGATATCGATATCCTGTTTTTTGGGCAAATTTGGTAAATAATTGGAGCTAGAGTCACCAAACTTGACATACAGCTTCTAAAATAGAATATATTTATGCATTTGATGTGGGAAGAAGAGGGTTCAGGGTATTCCCTAGTCGGGAGCTCCCGACTAGAACCTCTTACTTGTTCAATATATTGTATTATTTACTTGACTTTTATTATTATACTTCTGTTTCTCAAATGGTCAAAAATTGCTGACAGACATTCGAAATTATTGCAAATTCTTATTACAATTGAAATTTAAATGGCGTTTTCTTATTGGAAATTGTGTAGAATGTGCCCGTTAGATTAATTTGAGGTTTAATTTAAGCCATAGATGGCGCTTTTATCTTATTGGACCGCTTGCAATTCGTTTTTATTAATTGCCGTCAGAGGGCCTTAGCTTATGTATTTTATAGCGTTCGGTTAATTAAATTTAAGTAAATCCAATTATATTAATTGCTTGCTCGAATTTAATTTAAGTGTGTATTACTAGCATAATAGAAGGCTTCGCTTTACTATTTTTTTATACTCTACATTACTTAGCTATAATTTAAATTAAATGGTTTATGAAGGGCATATTAATGTGGCTTTGTTCAAAAACAAAAAACAATAGAAAGAAATAGTTTACAACAATAAATGCGAGGCTTTTGAATTCTAGACATTTCAAAATTTAGATAGCGAATACTGTAGAGGTTGTCGGATATATAAACATGTTTTATAGCAATTAACTAACAACATCAACGTATGCGTGTCAAAGGCTGGCTGATGTATTAAATTATCCAAAACGGAATCATAGTGGAATGACACAATATTTAATGCAATTGTGGAAAACCTAATAGTTTGCCTAGTTAATTAGCAATAAATTTAAATGGAATCAAGTCCTGCTGTATTCCAAACTAAATACAATTTGCCTTAAAGACAATGGAAAAGGTTTCAAATCAGAGACAACAGTTAAAAAGTACAACAGCCAAGTGACTACTGTAGCAGTCAGCAATTGAAACGAGTTTTGTAGCTATGAACTAACGGATCACGTTGTGTCTGCTAAGAGCTGAATGCTATATGGAGATCACTGCGTGCGTGTCAAGAGCTGCCTGCTATATCAACTCACTGCAATCATAAATCGTGGTGGAATGACACCTCAAATATTTTAACGTCCAATGGAAAACCTTATTAATATAAAGATAAATGTATTTAAAATAAAATTAAATTTTTTAAAAATGCGAAAGAATTTTAAAGAAGACAACAAAGTTGAACCAATGAAGTGCGCCTTTTATTTATACAATGGTATAGCTATCATAATCAATGTAGTATTATTGGCGGGCGGCAAAAAAAATAGTCTGTCTGTGTGTGTGTGTGTGTGTGTTTGTGAGTGTTTGTGAGCGTGTGTGTGTGTGTGTGTGGTTGTGTGTGCGCGTGTAAATAATGATGAGGTTATTAAAACTAAATGCATTGAATTGTTTGTTTTCAACTGACAATCGACACAATATCGACAAGCGATGCGAATGTAAGGTAAAACCACATAAGTGTTTATATATATATATATATGGATGCTTATTGCCGTAGACTGCATGCTAATGCTACTCCAGTTACAGTTGCAGTTGCAGTTGCAGTTTCCCAGACCCGGACAGAGACGCGGCGAGCACACAAATGTGTGTGCGTGTGCGACACGGCGGGGCTGTGGGGCGTGCTGCAAGTGCGGCTGCGGATGCGTTGAGGGGATTTGAGGGGAGGATGTGCGTCTGTTATCAGGTCAATTTGGAGCGTTTCTTGGCAATGGCATCCTCGACGGCGCGCAACTGTTTGAGCAGCTCCTCGCGTCTCGATTTCTTGCCATCCTTGTCCTTGTCCTTATCCTTCTCTTTGTCTTTCTCCTTCTCCTTGTCCTTGCCATTGTCCTTCTCCTTGTCGGAGTCTGGCGAATTGGCTGGCGACACAAGCGCCGACACACCCACCATGTTCGATGGTTTCTTAATCTCAATGGAAATGGGTGAACGTTTCTTGGTTGATTGTTCAGTGGCTGCAACAAAAATTGAGGATCGATCAGTTGGCATTTTGCGGTTGATTCGAGCATCACATCCGTCCGGCTTACGTTTTTTGATTAGTTTGCGCTCGTTGAGCGCCTTGTCTGTGGCACGTACACGCTTCTGTGGCGTCTCGTGCGAGCCCGATGAGCTGTCCGATGAGGAGGAACCCGATTCCGAATCCGAATACGAAGTATCTGAGGAATCTGTCCAAGGCAGCGGCGCCTTTAGGTTAGAAGTTGTTCATTTCAATAGCGTAGCATCAACACATACCTGAATCTGATGAGCTGGAGCTACGACGACGACGACTCAATTTGTCAAACTTTTTGGGCGCCGGCGAAAGCTTCTTGCGCTTGGAGGCGGGACTGTGTGCGCCGCCGCCGCCGCCGGCGCTGCGCTTCTCCAGCGCAGTGCGCTTGTATGCAGAGGAGGCGCTGCCCTCTGCAAAGAAAAACCCGAAGATATCCATGAAGAGGGGCTGCCAAATTGGGCAAATCGAATGATCTTCACTTACTGGACGTGCGTCTGGGACGTCGCGGTATTTGGCTGGGCGAACGGGCGCGTCCGGCTGCGTGGCGACGCGTTGCGGAGGCGGTCATCAGCTTGTGCGCATAGCGACGCTTGTGTTCAGAGGCGCTGCTGGAGCGCGATGAATCAGAGCTGGAATCGCTCTGTGAGCTGTTGGAGCTGGAATAGGATGTGTTACTGCTGTAGCTGCGGCGATCGCGGCGTCGTCTGTCGTCGCGCTCGTACGACGGACCACGTCCAATCGATTTGGAGCGCATCCAGGGATCGCTCCACTCATCGCCGCGCCCAACAGCCTCCACACGCTGAACGATTACCTCGCGTGCGGGCCGCAATCGTCGATCATCCTCGTACTGTGGCATTCGATGTGGCGGCAGTTCCCGATAGCGCGCCATGCGACCATAAACGTCCACATCCTCGTATGGGATGGGCGGCATGTACGGGGAACGGTATCGATCTAGCGGCTGGGCGTACATTGTGTACACCGAGGGCAGGAGGGTGCGCGGATTGCCATGGCTGATGGGATTATTGGGCGGCAATTCGCGCACAACGCTGGGTGAACTGCCGCGCTCCTTGAGATAATATGGATCCTTTTCCAGTTCATCGGGCGAGAGGGTTAGATTCATTTTCTTATCCTCAAAGTCCATGTCCTGCTCCTTGCGCTTGTTCGCCTTGCGCATCATCTCCTTGGCGGTGCGCAGGCCACGCTCCCAGGCATTCTCCACCACCACCGGCACCTCGGGCATTATCAGGCCGCTGCGCGCATCATGATGCCCGGCGACACCGGTGCCCGCCGCATAAATGCCGGCATGATGCAGTCCGGCGGCGCTGCGATGATGCAGCGCAGCGGGACGTTCGTTGCGATAATCGTGATAGTCACCGGCAGGCGTGACGCCTGCCATGTGACTGTTATAGGCACTGCCGCTGGCTACTCGCGAGGAGCTGCTGGCCCCGCTGCTGCTTTGCATCGGCACGGAGCGCACCAGGCTCTCGAACATTGTGTAGTTGCCCTTGTCGGTGACGCCCGGATGCAGGAAGCGACAGCTCATGCCCCAGGTGCACTGGCCGCGCGTATAGAAACGACAGACGGGCTTCGGCTCAGTCTCCTCTGGTCGTTTCTCATCCTCATCGGATACCTCGCCTTCCTCCAGCTCCTCATCCTTTTTCTTCTTTTTGGCACTGTCCGAACCAGCCGCCTCGTCCTCCTCACCGTCCTCACCCACCTCGCCATCGCCGTCCAGCTCCACCACTTTGCCATCATCATCGTCATCATCATCATCAGCCTTCGATGGCGGCGACTTTGCCTGTCCGCCTTTTTTATTCACGTCATTCCCATTGCCATTGGCAGACGCATTCGCGGCGCCTTCCGCCTCGCCGTCCGTCTCCTTAATTTCTGGACACTCGCCCTCCTCCGCCTCGAAATCGAGCGCATCGTCGTCGTGAGTCTTGACCAGATCATCCAAGCCGTTGGCGCCCTCCAGATCCTGTGAGCATAAGCCAAAAATGCAAGTATGATTAAATGTCTGCCGGATTCCCGATTGGAAGATTTAATGTGCTTAGCGCCGAGCTGCCGTTAAATATATATATCTCCCAATTACACACACACACACACACACTTTTACATACAAGTTCACCACAAACTTTCAACTCTATGAAGTAGCTCCGCTTCTTCCCTCAGCCTCACACTATGTATATATGGATATTCTTCAGGAACTTCGGAGTTTATAGTCCGATCAATGAAGTTAGCAGGACGTAAATACAGCATCCGAATGTCTGTACATACTAAGTGGCAATGTGCTGCCTTTTTATCGCCCCCAGTTTGGGGAGAATGGAGCGAGGTAGCCAAAGAATGAAATATTCTCAGTAGGTATACGAGAATCTGCAAGCCAAATTAGGTGTCTTTAGCTCTTAAATCCCATCGAGTTTTGTTTAAAAATCGATATTATGGAAATGGAGCGACATAAAAAAAAAAACCGACTCGTTCTGCGTTCTACAAGCGTGTATATATACTTATATCAAAGTTTCTGTCTTTGGTTCATATAGATAGAACGTTGAGCTCATCATTCAGAATAAGGATATATATAATATATATATATCAATATAAGAACACAAGCGATATGTCATATCCGTCTAGTCGACAAAAAATTGATCTACAAATACACATACTCCATCATATAGCTCCATAGAAGGAATCAGTCAAACATTTTGTTTTTCAATATAACTGGACCAAACAAACTTTGGTGTCCTCCCAAAGCGGACTACTCTGTGGCATGGCTCGCACAGTCGGACAGCTTAGACAAGTCTTCAGAGACTTTCCTTGCTCCTTGCGCTGATTTCAATATAGAAACTTTTCTATACTATGCCGAGCGTATGCTGTTATGTATATATAGAGATTGGCATTTTTAGTTACCATTTTATCGTCTGTTGATTGCTGGCTGGAAGATTTGTCCTCCTCGCTGCGATCCTTGCCATTGAGTGTGGGGGAATCTTGGACAGCGGGCAGCGAGTCATTGGAAATGGCGCCCTCCTCATCGTCATCGACGTTTGTCGAGTCCTTGGACGTTGCCTGCTTGTCCATATCAATGTCGCTCACATCGCTGAGATCCTCGTGGCTAATATTAAGATCGACTGCCACCTGATTGTATAATCGCTCTGGGCTATTGCTTCGGCTGCGGCTGCGACTGCGCGCCGAGTTCTGAGGTGATTTGCTGGGCGAAACAGAGACCGCGGTGGCGCCATCTGCGTCCTCATCGGCATGGACATTGGCGTTATCTTTGGCAATGGCAACGGGCACGGCGCGCCCATCGCCGTCGCCATCGCCATCCACAGCAGCTGCGGGCGATGATGCTTTTGCTTTATCGTCGTCGTCGTCGGAGCTGGAGCTGCTGCTGCTGGAGCTGCTGCTACTGCTGCTGCTGCTGCTGCTACTGGAGCTGCTGCTGCTGCTGCTGCTTTTGCCCGGACTCTTCTTCTTTCGCTTGGTGCGCCGCTGACGGCTGCGACTGGATCTGGAGCTGGACCCGGACGAGTTGCTGTTGGAGCGCGTGCGCACGGCCTTCTTGGCACCGCCCTTGGCAGCAGCATTGTCAGCATTGCCACCGACCTTGGCATTGCCATCGCCCCGAGCATTTCCATCGCCATCGCCATCGGCGCTGCCATCGCCACTAACCTCGCCATCGCCACCGGCAGCTTCACTGGCATCGCCATCGCCATCGCCTTCACCATCGCCACTGAGGTCGCCGTCGCCGTCGCCCTGCCCGCCGCCTGGACTGGATTTCATCGTGGAGTCCTCATCGTCGGCTGTTATCTTTGTGGGCGTCGATGGGCGCGAGTTTGACGGCGATTCAGACGACGATCTGGAGCTGCCGCCTGTGTCTTCCGACTCCATGCTGACGCCCATAACTCAAACAGCGCTGCGGGCTGCTTCTCGCCGGTGTTCGCCTTGATTGTCTGCGAAGGATGTCGAAGATTAGATCGGACGAACCAAGCCGAATGCAAATATAGAACATATTTATTCGTTATCTTTGGCAAATATGTTAACGAATTCCTATATAACAAAAAAAAAAAAAAAAAAATTGGACTTCGGCAAACCGAAGTTTTGGGGTTTCTCCTCTTTTTTAATCCTCTTGTAAACAGTTGTGCAACGTTGATCCTTCGGGGGAAATGAGCGAAGGGAAAGAGAGACAGAGACAGAGTGGGAGGGAGAGAGAGAGAGAGAGAGAGAGAGAGAGAGGGATTTTGTATATATACTGAGAATTGCATTGTAGGAATTTGATTCGAGTTTTTAAATTGATTCGTAAGAGGTTAAAGAAGTAGTTACCTCATGTGCCAATACGGGTTTTTGCATAATTCCACCTGCAAATGTGGAACATTGGTGGAAAACGTTTGAATGCAACTATTTTGCTTCTTTTTCTTCTCGAACAGCTAATTTCTAGTTTCTCATTTCTAACGATCTTTGTACAAATAGATTTAAAGGAGTATTCCACACATTCGTTGATTCCACTCTCCTTGGTGGAAAATGGCTGTATTAACACTTATTTTCAAAGCTCTACATTGTAGATTATAATATTCGCCTATTGAGACATATTTAACACACGAATGAAGAGACGCTGCGGCTCTATATTTTCCTCCGATCGACTTTACTCATTTTCAAATATGAAAATAACGCAAAACCTGCTTGGTAAAACGGACAAAATGGGGCAAAATCCACTGATATTATATATGTATATACATATATTATAATGAATTTCATGGGTTGGCTCTCATAGCATTTAGTTGCATTCAATTGCTATTAAAAGATCGATTCGGTGATGAGAGAGTACAAAACAAGACAAAACAAAAAAAAAGTTCTCAAAAAGTGACAGAGCCAGCTAGAAATTCTATTTGACAGCCAGATTGACATTTGGTTACGTTAAAATAAATTCTTTTTAGCATATTTTTTTGATGGTAACCCTTTGCAGACATAAAAGCCAATTGAAACTTATTTTCAAGTTTGAAATGATTTCTTGGTATGATATCATACGATACGATATCAAGCACAAACGCGTACAACGAACCACGTTCGATTGGACACAGCCCCATGAAACTAATCTAGCAAAGGCAACAGATAAATGGAATATGACAGGAACTTGGTTATCAATATAAGACACAACAACAAAATTAAAGAGCCTAACGAAAATATGTTTAGTCTTAACTCAAAGATCTGTTGCAAGTTAGGACTAAAGAGAAAATAAAGAGTCAGCTATTTTCTGGCTAAATTTGATTATTTTGAGGAGTCGTCAGCGGCAAAAAGTTGAGTTTTTAAATGGATTTCGCCTTTTTTGGCTTCTCAGTGAGAAGTACGTACTGGAAATCCTATCTATAGCCAATTTGTGCCAATTCAGCTGTGTTTAGCTATATTTATCAGGGATTTTAGCTACTTTTTTTTTGAGGCGGCATTTGGCAACACTGGTTGTAGTGAGAATTGTGCCAATGCAAGGTCAAGTACGGGGGCTTAATGGGTTAACGGTACATATTTTATATGTGCATGTACAATTTACTAAGTTCTTCTTCTTTACTTGGGTTCCAAATATGCATTTTGTGTGTCGACTATGCATTTATTTTGTTCACTGAAAGGATTTTTTTTTTTGAGGGGGGGAAGAGAAAAGTTTTGAACGTTAAGATTTCTGTTCACTTTGTTGAATTCTTACCTTCATAATTGTACTTTTACTTTTTATATAGTTTATTTAAATAGTTTTTTTTTTTTATGTGTGTGTTGTGATTGTTTACTTTAAACTCGTATATCGACTTTACGCGAACAAAAGACAACAGAGAGTGAGCAATAATTTACTGAATATAACAATTGTTATACGAATCTGAATAATACAAGAACTACGTTTGCTCATGTCTCGGGGCTACAAATAAATACAAGAAACACAAACACACACATATATAAATATAAATATATATATGTATAGCTATATATATATATATATTTAGTATATATACGCACACACACACAGATTACTTGTATATGACATTCGACATCTCATATACGTTTTTAGTGTTGTTGGTATTTTTTTAAATTTTTTTTATTTGCTTCTGCGGTATTTTTTTGTACATTTTTTGTTTCGCACTTTTCGCGACCGACAAAGTTGTTGTTGAAAACATTTAAACAATTGAAACTGAACTGAATCGCATCGCAGGTTTTACTCTCTCAGCGAAAGACAGTAGAGAGACGGAGCATTCCGATTTTCAAGCACAACTTTTTCACAGAATTCACAAGTCTTATACGATTTGTTGAAGCGTTATACATTAGTCTTTTGATTTAATTATACTTTTTTTTTTGTTATTTTTTGATGTGTGTAAACCACTTTTCTTTTTTTTTTTGCACTTACGTAGTGTTGGAGGGGAAAAATAGAATACTTGAAAATATATATATATCAATTGTTGGTTGTAATGCAAATGTGCACAATTTGTTGTTGTTGCTCACCTAAACGCAATTGCCGCAGTTGCAGGCGTCGCTCCTCCTTTCCCTATCACTTCCTCTGTCGCTAGTCGGCGTGTCCAGGCCAAATAATAAAAAAAAAATCTATCAGCAGGCTCCGGCTCCGGCTTCGTGTAAAGTTGTATGCGTGAACGTGCCTCTGTGTTTTATGTGCGTGTGTGTGCGCCGTCGATTGCTTTCGTCAATTTCTCCCTCTTTGCTTTTCCTGCGTGGCCCGCCGTTAAAAGTTTGCAGCTTGGTTTGCAATATTGCTGGCGCTTGGTTAAAGCTTTTACCTGTTCCTTATTGAGTTCTATTAAATTTATTGATATTAGCGTGCGACTCTTTTTAAGCAGAAATTCTTTTGTCACAAACGATGCCGCCGCAACTGCAGAAAATATTAGGGCTGAGCAACATTGCCTAGTGCTGCGCTCGATGGTACTATCGCATGTTCGCCTGTTTGACTATCGATATTTAATGCCAACTGTCGATGAGAGCTGCACTTTTATTTAAACCATTTAACGTCTATTTTTGTTTATTTCAATGCATATATTTATGTATTTAACTTATAGTCTTCTACGTAGCCCATAGCTATGCACATTGCCTGATGATAGACATATATATTATTGTGTTTTTATTAAAACTTTTGTGTGTCGCTAGCTGTGTCATGTCAGTCAAAGTGGCTTTTTGTTTCGTTTCTATATTTGAACTGTGGAACCTACACCTAACAAATACAAAGGCCATTGGTGGTGCCTTCCCATGGCCATTTAAGTTATCGATGCTTGTGCATTTATGGAAATGTAACAATCGCACTATCGATAACTGTTTTGCAACTCTAGCGAAATGCAGCTGTTGAACGGAACGTTACGTTGTTTTCAAGCGCTTCACGCTGCCAAATTCAATCTCAAATGCCTAGTTCGCCCGTACCCAGCAGCTGCACGATGCAACCGCTGTGTGGAACAGCACAGCCGTCATTATGCGAATGTGCCTGCCTTGGCTCTGAGCCACGATCAATTCGATGGACCCACACCCGATGCCAGCCGATCCCCCCTTATCACAATGCACGGCTTGTTTGGCTCCAAGCAGAACTGGCGCAGCGTTAGCAGAGCTCTGGCCAAGCAGACCAATCGTCGCGTAAGCAAGTAAACATCCATGTATTTGCGGAATGCGTAGCCTTAAAATGCACACAATTACAGGTCTATACGGTGGATTTGCGTAATCACGGCGACAGTCCGCACGCGGATACGCACAACTCGGACGGCATGACGGCGGATTTGGTTGCCTTTACGCAGGCCAATTCGATACCCAAAGCCTGTCTGATGGGACACAGCATGGGCGGACGCGCTGCCATGCACTTTGCCTTGAATAATGTGTGTATAAAGATCTTCAAGGACAGGGAGAGGGGGAGAGAGAGAGAGAGAGACGTGGCGACTTACCTTACGTTTCTTTTTGCCTGCAGCCTCAACTATCGGACCGCTTGATTGTGGTGGACATTTCGCCTGTATCCATTCCCAGAACAATTGGCGAAATGGGAAGCATTTTTGGTGCCATGAAGGATGTTTCGCTGCCCGCCGATTTATCATTGTCAAAGGGCCGTCAGGCTGCCAAGGAGATGCTCCTGCAGACCGTTGGCCGTGACTCGGTCGATTTTATTTTATTGAATCTGCGAAAGAGACCACAAACCGGCGAGTATGTCACAAATTGCGTGTGTCTAAGTGTCAGTATTGCTCAATGCTACAAACTCATACAGATTTTACTGGACCTGCAATGTGGATGTCCTGCATAACAGCCTGTCTGGCTTTACCCATTACGGTGCACATATAGCTAATCTGCCGGCATTCACGGGACCCACCACCTTTATCTGTGGCACCCACTCGCCTTATATGAAGTAAGTTCAACACGATCCAATAAAAGTATCAATTTGTATCTCTCTCTCTCTCTCTCTCGCTCGCTCTCTCTCGCTCGCTCTCTCTCTCTCTCTCTCTCTCTCTCTAATTCAGTCCCGACGATTGGCCCGAGGTGCTGAAATTCTTTCCCAATGCCAGCCTGCATTGGCTGGACACGGGCCATTTGGTGCATCTGGAGGAGCCGCACAAGTTCATCGAGATAGTCACACAGTTCCTTAACGAGCCTTAACTAAGAATAAACTTTCTGAAACAATTTGCCAAATTATTATGTCTACACTAATCAGAGCGAGATTGCAATAGAATTTAGAACGAATTCAAAAAAATAGAAGCGAAATGAGTTCAAGTTCCGCCTCTCACCCGACAATGCGATGTGTCTGGGATCTTAATAAAGCAACAACACTTGCACATTTCAAATGTAAATTTAATTCTCTTTCTCATGCTTGGATTTATGTAGTAAAGACGGCTTTTTAAAATATCTATACACATAAAACAATACGTTGAATTAATAATAACGAAATTAGCTAGCATCGCAAAACGTGGCCTGCTTGATGTGTATATGTATTTCAAATATGTGTGTGGCTTAAAGTACAATTAAATAAATACAAATTAGTTAAATAAGTTGAGGGTTACTTGGGAGGGAGGTGTGTTGCGAGAAAATCACATTGCACTTATAAATTAAATTGTTTTCGTTAAGTCAAATATTTTGTTTTGTTTTGTTTTACAGTTTTTGCTTATAAATGAACACAGTTTGCGTGTGGATGTGTGCGTGTGCGCGCATGTGTGTGTGTGTGTGTGTGTGTATTTGTTTATCATAATAAATACATTAAACAGGAATGGTGGGTAAAACATGGTGCTAAGGCTAAAATGGTTTTTATTCCTTTAATTAAATTGTTTTGTTTTGTTTTGTTTTGTTGTTTTTGTTGCTTGCTTTGGTTTTCGCTTCATGTGCGCGTTGTCGTCGTCTTGTGTCTTTTTATATGAGTGTCTGCCTTTTGTTTTAGTATTAGTTTTAGTTTTAGTTTAGGTATGCTCTAGTTTTTAGTCATAGTTTAGCTGCTGCTGTCTGTGGTTAAACAATAAGCCCGCCGTCGTAGGCGTAGTCCGCCTTGTTGTGCATCACGAGTCGATTTTCCACAAAGTAAAAGCTGTCCGAGCGCGTCTCGAAGGGACTTGATATCATTTCAGCAACTGGAAAGGCGACCACAAAAAAGAGTACACATTAATAACGCTGTGACCTAGTTGGATACAGTGCGCATTCGCTATGTTGGATGGGCCAAAATGCGCTTGACTTAATCATCAATTTTTATCATAAATTTCATCAAACATTTCTTTGCTTGGGTTAATTTTGCTGCTCGTCAACTGTTCAGTGGTCATCTGTTCTTCATATCGAATGCGCACTGTGAGCGCGTGTGCACATGGCCTTGACCCGCCGCCTGGCAGCTGGCAGCAGCTGCACTTATATATATATTCTATTGGGCGGGGCTTGGACCGTGGCTGGGCGGGCGAGCCACTGGAAGGCATTACTCACCCAGATCTGGTGGCAGATTGGGAAACTCGTAGATGTGCTCGCACGTATTCTTTGAATATGGAATGCAATAGCCGAACTCAAAGTCGAATGTCTTAAGCAAGCGATCGCGGAAAAAGTGTCGCTCGATCATTCGAAAATTATTCACGGGCTGGCTGCCCACGGTGAACTCCACGCTGAAAGCAAATATATGCATCATATTATATTGGCACATAAATCGAATGTACAGTGAAAGCTCGCTAAAGGCTTGATTCTCTTCGGTGCTTATAGTCCGATCTATTTTACAGCGTCCGAATAGGGCAATCGATATTTATCGATGTTAGAAGTTATCGTTATCGATACAAATAGCGGGACATGGTCAATAGAATATAAATACTTTATACTTGACGCCTTTTAGTCCTTCTCAAAGGGCTTGGAGCATACGAATAGATCACCCTACAGAGCTTTCACTGTACTCCACTAGTTAAGCTTTTTCTAAATCTTGGCTTACGTGGCGCCCACTGTCTTGAGGTTGAGGAACGCCGGCGTGAACTGATAGCGCACATAGCGCCCGGCATTGGGATCGGCAGTGTCATCGAGCGTTAGATCCTCGGCGGCGGCCAGCATGGTGTCCTCGACGGAGAGGCCGTCGGGGAACTGCTCGCTGGGCGGCTTGGCTATCTCAAAGAGGACGGCGCCGCTCTCCAGGTCGCGTATCTTGAAGCGTGTAAAGTCAATTTCGAACACATTGGCATTTGCCGAGCACAGATAGTCGTCCGTGATTTTGTTCAGTCGCAGCACATCCTCGGGCGTTACATTGGACTCCTCCTTGCGCTTGGCATCGCCAGCGGCGGCGGCGGCGACAACTGCTGCGGCAGCATTTGCATTGTTGACCTCGCTGCTGCTGCCCGCCGCGGCGACAGCCGCCGTTGAGTTGGCGACGGCGACGGCGGCAGAGTTTGTTTGCACGGGATTCAGTTGCTTGCCAACGACGCTCATTGCTGCCGCTGCTGCTTCTGCTGCTGGTGCTGCTGTACTGGAGGAAGCGGGTTCAGGTTCACTTATCTACTGGGCACACCTGCGATTCAGGCTGCAAAAGAGAAACACACAAGGAAAATGCCATCATCTTTTGATCAAAACACAATTTTCATGCAAAAATATTGCCCAAGAGACGGGAAACTAACCGAAACATGTGCCCAAAGTTGCCATAACAAATGCCAAATGGCAAAAACAAAAACCAAAGAACTGAAAAAAAAAGAACGCGACCCAATTTCTGGAAAAGCTGCCTTTGTATTTGTTTTTCCTGTGATTGTGTGCGCTTGTGTGTGTGTGTACGTGTGTGTGTGTGTGTGTGTGTGCGTGTGTTTGTCTTTGTTGTTGTTTGAATGCCTTCCAGCAGCAGCTGTCTGCTATTGTTATTGTTGCTGGTTTGTTATTGCTGCTGCCTGCTATACTCGCTCGCTCACTCAGCACCTGTCTATGGCAAAATGCAACAAATTTAAATTGTTGACATTTTGTGGGTGGTTTTTGATTTGGTTTATTGAAGTATTTTCTAGTAAATCAACGCGTTCACACACACACACGCACACACTAATAGCGAGGACAGTGTGTGGAAAATTCGCCAGCTTATCGATAAGTGTTAGAGTTTGCTATCGATAGCTTCAGCTATGCGCATATCGTAGCGCATTTATGCGTTCACATTGCGCACTTTGGAGTTGCATTTGCGCACATGTGTACACACTGATTTTGCGTTTAGGCGCGTCATTTGAATTAAAAGCATTGAGTGCATTATTTTTTTTTTTTTTAACATTTTTATGTGTGTTATTTATAAAGCGCTCTGTGCGCTTATGTTATTTATGCACTTTTAGTTTAGTCGCAGCGGGTAGGGCGAGCAGCAACAAAGGAAATGACCATTAAAGCAAGTGAATTGCTTGATTTGGTTAGGGTTATACTGCTTCTTCGTCTTCTTTTTGCCTGGCTAACTACTTGAGCGCCAGACGTGGCCGCGCCCGCGCTCTTGCCCTCGTCTCACTCAACTCAAAGATATTCTTAGCCTCAAGAGCACAAACCAAGTGCTAAGGGCGCCAAAGTCTGGCTGCCTCCTGGCTGCAGTTGATCTGGCAGCGCGCTGTGTGTGCGTGTGTGTGTGTGTGTGTGTAAGGGTACCACTTACGATTGTTGTTGTTTCTGTTCGTTGTTGTTGGTCTTAAGTGGGTATTTTAATATTCGCAGCCAGGCAACAGTGTTGGGTTTCAGACCACATCATGATGCACTTATGCAGCGTCCGCCCCGCTTCAGCGCCGCACGCCCGTCCCTTCACATTTTCTGTGCCTTTATTTTGTTTTTTTGGCGTCCACGTTTCCTGTATGTTTGCTTGCCTGCTCTCTGTCTGTGTATGTGTGTGTGCGCGCATGTTTGTGTGTGTGTGTAAGTGAGAATGTGTTCATGCTCACTTCTATCTTTAGTACAGTTGACTGTGGCTGCCCGAGAGGCGACCCGATTTCCAACTCCGAGCGACTCGCCCGACTCGCCGGACTCGCCGCGCGACGGCTTCCAGGTTTCTCTTGTTTTTCGCATACGCTATCCTGGAAAGGGTTAACCGCATTTCAGTCGCAGCTTTGACAGCTCCTTTGCGGTTCTTGTTGCCCCCCCCCCCCTCGACTTCCCCGCGCAAAACAGAGCTTCTTGCTAAGCAGGAAATGCAATTAAAGTGAAATTATATTATGCATATGATCCAGATTTTAATTTCAGTGTCTGCTACAGTGGTCGCTCGCAAAGTGAAGCCGTGCAGCCTGGAAGGTCACATTGTTTGAAGGAAACTGTATAATGTTTTTTATATTCATTTTTAAATAAAAATATAGAGAGTTTGCATGAAATAGTGCTTAATTATATATGCATATTTTTTCTTCTTTATTTTTTTTTTATATTTTTTGTAATTTGAATGCATTTTATATTACAAAAGTAGAGCTAAGAAAATAATATTTTTTTTTTAAGAATCTTGAATTAAATTCACATTTCTTCAAGTTCCAATTAGCGAGCGACCACTGCATTTGCGAGCTTGTAACTAGGGACTGCCAGCGTCTAACTATGATATCATTTCGAGATGATTTTACTTTAAAAATAAATAAATTAAATTAAGCTCAAAGTGTCGAAATTGTAGAATGCATGAAAAATTCTCTTGGGAAGTACAAAAAATAATAAATAATGAAAATAATAAAAAAAAAAAAAATTTTTAAAATTTCAAAAAAACGTTAAATGGGAAGTACAAAAAAAATAAATAAATAATAATAATATAAAAAACCATACTTGAAATTTAAAAGAAATTAAATATTTTCTGGGATATTTCCAAAATGAATTTTTAGAATTTTTGCCGTTCTTTGAAAAAAAGTAAATTATTTTAAGGAAATTTCCGAAATTACTTTTAATGAACTCCTCATTTTTAACTTTAACAGAAAACTTAAGGCATAATCTTTAACTATCTTAGATTTCCAATATCTGAATGTTCCAACGAGCGAGTACTGTATTAATATGCGTAATAACGCAATCGAATTGCATTTTGTTCAAATGCTTGGGGATTCGATTGGAAACTTGGACGCGACTGTTTGTCTATGGGGATAGCGCATTGTTGAACGATTAGAGTCAGGGGGAGTGCTGGAAGGGGGGGGGGGGTGGGGGGGGGGGGGGGGGCGATATCGCGGGTGTTGTGTGTGCTGTGGTTGAGCAAACACACACGCATCTGGCACGTTAGTTAGTTAGCTAGTCGAAAGCAAAGCGACAACCCTGCCCCGTTGCCACCCCCCCCCCCCCCCCCCACCACCACCTGATCTTGTTGCTGCTGCGCCTGCAGTTAAGTGGCCCATGTGCAATATATGTGTGTGTGTGTGTGTGTGCGAATGCCAGTTGTTGTTTGTGTATTAGTGGCTAGGGTAGGGTATCAAAAACAAACAAACAAACAAACAACACAAATCGTGGGCGATAAAATTCGTATTCGAGTCGCAGCGTCGTCAAACCAAAAACAAGCAGCTCAGCGGCCAGGGGCGTAAGACCCAAAGGGGTTTGGGGGTTGGGCGGTGTTAGGTGGTGCGAGCACAACACACACAGTGTGTGCGGGTGTGTGTGTGTGTGTGAATGTGTGTGGCACAGCATAAGCAGCCTAAACATTAAGCACCCCCCGTGGTGCACGCCAATGCCCCGCTGCTCCCCCCCCCCCCCCCCCCCCCAATGCTGGCGATGACGTTATGTGACGGCTGTGCGCGCCGAACGGTCTGGCAATGCGCGTCGTTGTCGTCCGCATTGGCAGCGCTGCATATATGCACATGTGCCTGAGTGTGTGTGCGTGCGTGTGTGTGTGTGCGACGTGTATTATGTATTGTAACACCTACCAAGCTGCCGCACAACACGTTGCCCGTTCGTCAAAAGCGCCAACAACAACAACCAAAAAACAAAAAAAACAAAGAACATAATCTAAATGGAATTCTGCCTCGCTTTTGCTTTGGCTTTGGCTTCGCTTTGCTTTGCTTTGCTCTGCGCATTGAAACGATTTCTCAACCAGATACAGCGCTGCGCACTGCCAACTGCGACGCCAACGGCGACGCAAACGACTTGAACAACGCCATCGCCCGTGCGCCGACCCCTCCCACAAATACTGCCCGCCCATGCCCTCGTTTTTCGGCTTGCGCTCTTGTCGCCGTTGTTTTTGTTGTTGTTGTTGCTGTTGTTGCTGCTGTTGCTGTTGCTGCTGCTGCTGTGGTGTGTGTTGCTGTTGTTGTGTGTAGATTTTTCTGGCGACAGACTGTCTGGCTCGACTCTGCCGACTCGGCCTGGGCTGACTGGCTGGCCTGGCCTGGCCTGGCCTGGCGTGGCCCGGCTGGGCATTCGCCGTCGTCGCCTTCGCCTTCGCCGCACGTTTGTTTGCCTTTATATGGCAACTCTGTGCATGCGTTTGCTGGTGTGTGTGTGCTTGAACTTTCATACGTTTGGCAGGGCATAATTGTTGTTCTTGCTGTGGCGTGCTGATATGGATTCTCTTGTACGTATCTTTGTGTTAGTGAGTGTGCGTGTGTGTGTGTGTGTGCATTGTAGGTATCCCAACGACGCCACATGCACAGTCTGTATACATGCATACATGCATATGTACATACATGCATATATGCAATGCATAAACAAACGACGAACGCAGCGGCGACAGCGGCTATGCCTTGCCCGGCAATGCAATGCACACGCACACACACACACACACACACACACACACACACACACGCACACACTCGCATGTAAATATTTACTTTGAATGAAATGCCCAAAGCTGCAGCAAAACTTCCAAGTCGAAGCCAAAATGCTACACACACACACACGCACACACGCATCCCACACACACACACAAATGTCAAACTGTCTGTGCGTTTGGCCAAGTCCGAATCTATTTGTATGCACTTCCAACCCAAAGAGTACAAAGCAAGTACAAACATGGCATTAACAGAAATACATCAATAAATACAGTACCCGCTCGCTGGATAGGACCTGCTATATATACATATATATATATATATATATATATATAGTGGGATGCTTTGGGAATGATCTATACCAAATATCTTGAAAGAAAAGTCAATTAATCAGGAATATCTGATATATCAAATATTCTTATAGGAAGAATATTACTTATAAATGTAATCCGAGCTCTAGATAGAGCATAGAAATAATGTATATGCTCTGCGGAAAGGAAAACTTCGGGTAATTAGGATTGGTTCAGTGTTGGAAAGTGCAAAAAAACGCTTTGCATGTTTAATCTTGAATTGTTATAGGAATATTCTTCAAATATTCTTCCTTTTTAGGTTCAAATAGATACATGAGACAAATTGATAATAGAGGGAAGTAAGATCTTAAATCGTATGCTAGACAAATGTATATACTATATCTCTATAAAATGTATACTTTATGTCCGCTTCTATATATTGAATAAGTGAAAAGTACTGCGATTCATTTGGCAGTTAAGTCGGGTACGCAAAGATAATTCCCTTGGAGGTCGAGCGACAGTGTCTAGGGTGCGACCCTCTAATGGGCACTACTTGAATTTCTACGCTCAAGAAAGCGACGGGCCTGTCATATCCAACTAAAGCGACAACTGTCCGACTCAATTGAGAGTCCGTCGCCATTTGGGATCGCTTGGGCACGTTTTGGTATGCCAGGCAGCCCGTCATATGTCAGATGCTTATAGCTAATCTCTGCCAGCTCTTGGGCAATCGCTCGCATACCCTGTTTTCATTACAGCAGAGCGAAATGGGTGTTTGAGACTTGAAATCGAAAGTATATCTATGTATATATCTATGCTCAGATCGAGCTTAACTTTGCT